GAGGCAGCAATGAACGTTTTGACGAAAACAAAAGCCATAATTAAGATCAATATAAATCTTGTTTTCGTTTTTTTGTAATTAGGTTTTAAAATTCTTTGAGACTGCATGACTCTTTGGAATTTGGTAGGGCATTCCATAAGTTTATTGTGTCGGGTAGAAAGGGTTTGACATAAGGGGCATTTCGACTGTAAATTTCAGAGTTATTGCTTAAACTATAGTTTGTAGTTTCGGACACGGAGTAAATCTGAGTAGGTAAATTAATTTCTCTTTGATCACGAAATTACCTACTCAAAGTGTTTAATTATTAAAGACATTTACCTGAGTATGTTAATCAATTTATCTTATAAAGTTTCATTAAGTTACCTCCACAAGATTCAGTTACATAGCAAATCAGTAATTAGCTAGGGTGAATCCATTCCATTAGACAGGGGACTATGGTGTGTTTTCGTTGTTAATTACCTACTCCACTGTCTCATAACTGGGAGTCTCACAAATGAGAGTAGACCTAATGAACTGTACCTACCTAATTGAATAATTTTAGGCCTCGTGGGACGACATCGCGCTGCAGAGGTAACGAACCAGTCATGATTTCTGGGATATCATCCGGGGTACTCACTGGAGAAAAACAATAACAAAAGCAACAACCAGTCCACGGAACTTGCTCTGGATCAGTGGCCCTTTAAATTCCAAAATAAGCAAGCCAATCTGATCTCTAATGCTCATGAATTAACTTATATGACTTATATGACAATAGTTTGAGAAGGTGTCGGCTCAGGAAGCCGACCTTTCGATTTTCATAAGGCTCAGGACGTCGACAAGCGGTACGCCTTGAAGTTTGGGTGTTATTTTAGCACATGACTAATCTCATATGACGTGTTATTCCAAGGCTGGTGGTTGATGGAAGTGAACACATCGCACACGGAAGCCGAACGTGTCAAAACATGATCAAAACAATCATAATGATGAGCACATTTAACTACATGGGGATATATTATGAGAAGCACGAAAGTGTACATTCGATTTCGAAATGGCCAATGCTCAACTTGAACATAAGTTTATTCCTACATCTCGTTGGTGTAATATGCCGGAGGCCAAAGACAACCCACGAAGAAGAAGTACCGATACCTGGATCGTCGTCTTCAAGAACTGAGACATCAGTTTCAAAGTGGAAAATTATCTGTGAGACAGTTTCCTGATTCAGCTGCTCTTCTTATACATCTTTAATAAATTTATAATGTACTTGTATAAATATGTATGTATATTTAAACTTTTGTAATATTTGGTAATATTTGGTAATATTATGTAATATGACGGTAGTGTCCCATTTTTGACAGCGCCTTGGTGACTGATCCATTATGGTGTGAAGCCAAAACTAGGATAATTAGCTGTACCATTTAAGGGTTATTATGTGAATGCAATAAACTGAGAGAAGTACAGAACAAGTAACATTAATGAACACTGATACCGCTTGGGGTGACAGAAACAGAAGAAGAGACGTCGTGTTGAAAATGCTTTGTACCAACTTGGTCTGGAATACATGACATGGCGTTATAGCGTCATATCTTTCTGCCTGTGTCAGTGTGCTGGCTGACATAGCTGCTCAGTGATAGACTTTGAAGTGATTGACTTTCAAGAATAGACTGTTTTAGTTTAAGTCTTTTTTGTTTTAGTCTTATCAAGTTTGACTCTCCGAAGCTTCTGTTACAGTAGCTCCCTCAATCACTGACTAATCAGGGCTTAATTAACATGTATGAGCCGTGGACTCAAAATTGGGACGACCAGTAAGCTCACAGTCAAAATTGGGACAACTAGCAAGATTAATTACAGAAGTGTGAAATTTCACTGTCGAATTTGGGACTGTCAGAATCAGGCATAAACCAATATAACTAGTTATAATTCCTGTAAAATGCAGCATGTTGTAACATGGTTAAATAAAATATGTCTATGTAGTCTCCCCGTTACCACTAGTGGCTTACGCCTTCTACATATTTTATGTGTTTTATATTTTAATGTACATATACTAAGTGAACTGAGACTGAAAAAAATCACTATATGCATATATTTGTCTCCTTTTCTCATTAGGTGTGGTGTAGTGGTTAGAGCGTCCGCCCGTAGAGCGGAAGGTCGCTGGTTTAATCCCCGACCGCGTCATACCAAAAGACGTTAGAATATGGTACTTGTTGGTCCCTGCCTGGCGCTTGGCATTAATGGGTACAACAAGGACTGGTCGGCTCGGAGTCAGTATAATGTGTCTGAGTGGGGTATTCATGCTTCACTGCGGCATGGTATCTCAGTGGGCTAGCACTATAAAACCATTTTAAGTCTGGGCTAGTACAAGCAGCCGCACCTACACATACACACGCATGCACGTCGTCATATGAGCGAAATATTCTCCAGAGCGACGTTAAACCCAATTTCACCTCACCTCATTAGGTGTGCTCTCATCAGCATAATCCGGATTATCCTCTTATAACAACTCGCGAAGGAACTTATATTTGTTTTGAAAATGTCAAAAACCTGCATTAAGAACACAACGCCCATCGTAACCCAATGCTTGTTTGATCAGTATTCTTGATTTACTCCCACTTTGCCAGTACAGTACTTAATCTGACCACAGTTAACGAATATCAGATTATAATTAACACCCTAAGTAGCAAGGTCATGTATGGCTGCCAGTTTCTGAGGTGTCCTCTCCCGTAGCCAGATTCTGTCAAAAAAGGTCTCTCACATAGCCAGAGCGGGATCTGGCTGACCAGGGTTAGTATTTTCATAACGAATATCAAGATGAGCCATATAGTCTGTATCAACAAAATGCTCAATTAGTGAGATTCGTGAATTTTGTATAAAGACACATTTGGATGGTATTATTTGAAATTCTTTACATTTTTCATATTACGTGTGCTCAGTTTGTAAGATGAGTTAAACTTATATTAAAGTGAAATACCTTGATATGGTATTACATGGATTTGAATTTCTTTACATTTTACAGAGATTGCAAATAAAAATATTCTTGGTGCAAAAGATGTAGTGTTTTAAGAAAATTATGTTGATGGTGGCTGACAAATGTTGACAAATGATGCTTCTTTGGTTGTAATATTTCACCCACATGGACACCACATATATCGAGTGCAAGTGTCCACTTCTGAATACCAGCCTAATCATTGAGTGCCAGTAACCACTTCTAAATCCTAGCCTTTTCACAAAGTCAACAATCGGTTCTAAAGTCATGTTTTTTTTGCTGCTTGTTAAGACCAGTTCTTAAGTCCAGCCTATTTATGTATGTTTGCATCCACTTTATATCAGTGATAAACAGTGCCAATACCACTCAACACGTGTACGACAAGGTAACAGTTTAACTGTTACACTTACAAATTCCATTTACATATGTATTGCTGTATGGACCAATTGTCTAGTGACACTGGGCGTTGGGACAGCCAAGTGGACACGAAATTGTGCAGAACTGTGGATTGAGTGAGTGAGTGAATTAATATTTAACATCACATCGGCAATATCTCAGCCATATCGTGACGAAACCAATTTATACAATATAAAGAGAAAATATTTTGAAGATTAAAACCTGTCGACGATGGACAGTAAAAATACTAGATATTGTTCTTTAGTCGAAAGACGCCACTATCATAAATTATGTATGTTCTACAAAATGGTAAATGGGTTAACACCACAATATCTCTCAATATGGGTACCACCAAATGTTTCTAATCAAAGCCTCTATAATTTGCGAAACTCCGATAATCTCCAATGTAATGCAGGGCGTGTATCTTACTTTAATAATTCTTTTCTCCCATCTACTGTTAAGGCATGGAATTCGCTTGACATCAATATTAGAAATGTAGAATCATTATCAAAATTTAAGAAATGTATATCTTGTGACGTGACATTATCCCCAACATTTAAGAATTATATATCGTATGGTCCCAGGCGAGGTCTCTTTCGTTTGCGCCTGGGCTGCAGTGATCGTAATTCTCTCTTGTTTGATAGATATTTGTCAGACAGCCGCACCTGCTCCTGTGGGAACACTCGAGAAGATGCTTACCATTATTTCCTTCAGTGTCCTCTATATGATAGGTTTAGATTTAATAAGTATTTCTTTCAAAATAATATAAGTTTACATGCTATTCTAAGCGGCGATGAATCTTTGTCCCAGTATGAAAACGAATTAATAATAAAATCGGTTTACAGTTTCTTAAATGATACCAACCGTTTTCCATAAAGTGTGGTACCATATGCTTTACTTAGTTTGAAATTATTGAATTACTTATTTCCACAAATGTACTTATAAAATCATTCTCTGCAAGATTATGTTTAGGAGAAGCATTTACATAGGCTGATGCAGCCTGTTTGCTGATCCTTTTTCCTTTTTGTAACTTAATCATGTTTTATTTTTATCACATGTCTTTCGGGAAATAAAAATACTGTTTAAATCAAAATACTAGAGAATCACAGATATGAATACAACTAGCGAGCAAAGCTAAAACATTTCAATTAAAGAGGACAATACAGTACAAAACACGAGCTATAGATCGCCAACAACTGAAGGTAGATCACCATACTAGGAACCATGAGGACTTACATTACTTTTGCTAACTGGATTTACACCATCCCTTCAGCCGCTGGCGGTTGTAGGAAAATGTAGCCGGCAGTTTAAAGAACAAAGATACTACGTTTAAAATATGGTATATTTACATTTTACTTTGAAAGTTTTGGGACTTACCTACCCTCTCAGGACGACAAACTTTTTACAGTACTTTAACCCCCTTTGAGGGTACAGCCACTAACAATCTAACTTACTAATCTCAATTACCAATCTTTAAATATATCTATTTACAAAACGCATTAATCAGAATTCATCAAAGAAATCAATTTATTTTAAAAAGTCAATAATTAAATGATAACTGTGGATTGAGAAATAACTAAATTTTACATTGTCGTATTAGACTGGGATGCAGCAACTTGGACACTGCATTATCTAATCTGTGAAGGACTGTTGTAATATGTATTAGTTTGGGGAGCGACATTAATATATTGGAACACTGTTTGTCAATCCCACTGTACACTACTAGTGGTACAAGAATAAATATTGTTTAAACTATACACACACTTGCATGCATCTTCAATCGTGTTGCATTGTAGATATACACTATAGCCCTAGGACAAAGGCTCACGCTTCAGTGGCTAATGCTAATTACCTGGCTCGCATCTCTCACCTAGCCACAGTGCAATGTTGTCTTAACAAGACCTTTTTAGGAAGACTCTGGCTAAGTGAGAGTGAACCGTTTCTGAGCGTGGTGAGCCATGAACAGTGTTCACCACATGCAAAACAAGTTTAATCAATAAGTGTTCACAATTTGTAGCTTCAATTATCAATTTCTTATGCTGTCTCCCACTTAGTGCGATTGTAAATATTTGTATTGTGTTTGTATTTGATTAAAATGACATTGCATCATTATAAGTTTTATAGGTATCATTTACTTATCTGTAACTGAACTTATAACCCTTATCATCTGCTTAATATCATAAAAATGTTAAAAAACGTTATGTGACTATTAGTTATATATGTATAATTTGTGTATTGTTGTATATCTGTAACTTTATATGTAACATGAATAGTATATATGTTTTTAAATTTTGTAAAATGAAATAAATTGGCAAAGTGTTGGATCTCCTACTAATCCCCTTTGGTGCACCATTAACTTTAATTAATTGCTTGACAATGAAACTGGCAAAGTGGGAAGACACCACAATCTTAAAGTGCGACTTTACAAATGCCTGTAAACAGGCTGATTGGATGGTAATTGAACAGCTGATTGACAGATTCTAGCTGTAAATCAACTTCAGTATGACAAAGTCGAAATCCACTCCACTGTCAAAGTGATGGAATCCATCAACATTTAATCAGCTTGTTTATTCTGAACGATGTACATCGAAATTCCGCTCCATTCAATATACAGTGAGTTGTTATCACTTAAGTGGTATGTTCCGTTATATATCCTCATACTGTTTACAGCAGTATAAGTGAGATCTGATTCAGCTTGCGAATGACCAAACTTTTGAAGATGATTTAAGTTCTACTTTAGTAAACTGCATCCTAATAATTTGATCTCAGATTAAAACATCTCATTCCGAATTCCTGTAAACCTATCTCAAGTACTAAGAAATACTGATTTTTTACATATTAGATATACATCTATCAGTACCAGTTTGATGTGTCTTGTCATGATTTAACTAACATAATGATTATATATCTATTGTTATTACATGTGTCATTAAAGCGTCATTTATGCCATTATAATGTTCTCTGATCCATTTCATCATACAGCATTTATTTCATTCAATGTTTTGAAGCTCATATGATGACATGAAAAATGTTACTGTTCCAGTTCATTTTGAGGTGTGAAATTATTTCGTTCTTCAAGTGTTCCAACCAATATAGTCATTATGGTTACAAACGGCCTGATTTTAATACCTATCAAGTTAGATGTTATATATGAGTGTATGCACACACATTCACACAAAACATACGTAATTTGTGAATTCTGTTCGACGAAAAAAAAATATCTAATTTGATAAGAAACACTACATAAATTATCTTCCCTCACTCTGAGAGAAGCATGGCATTATTCGTTAATTTTTAAATAATTTTATCTGCATAAAAGAAGGGATTATAAAAAAAAACCAAACTTCCGTATACTACCATTTCACCAACATTGCGACATTGACCATGGAATAATGTTAATTTCAGTCTGATTTCAATGTCATAATTATGCGAGGTTCCTCATTCACACATTCATACAAACTGACAGCTCAACACAAAACAATATGCAACCAACCAACTTCAATACAATACAACTTTCACCGCCTGTGCATACCACACTGTTGACGAATCTCTCAGGTGTGTTAGAGCGATAATCACATCGCGACATGTTTAACAAACCTACAGCTCAGCAGATTTAAATAACTTACCTTTTTAATAAGAAAAGCAAGATTTATGGATGTCAACTTCTTTATTGTGAATAACACGACGTTTCGGAGCGTATGCTTGCTCCTTCATCAGGTAAAAATCAGGTCACAATACAGAAGTTGACATCCATAAATCTTGCTTTTGTTATGCATTCCACTTCTAAATGCCCTTCAAAGATGTAACTTACTTCCACAGGCTTCTTTGAGAGGCATAGAAACTTGGGTGTATTCTCTTTTTGCCTGCACTTTACTTGGCTATAAGCGGATTAGGGTTAACAGTCCAGTGCCTGCACAATTATAGTCTGTTCAAGTAAGTGGAGTTCAGTACCCACTCACCACCAAGGTCACTAGCCGACCACACTGAACACAGTTCATAATGATTAGTCAACTTAGTCATTAAAAGTAATCAAATATGACATGATCGAGGCATGGGGTTATAAAACTGCACAATCTGGTGGGATTGTGAATGTGATTATTGTGTCATATGAAACAAACAATACACTTGTATGTATTTATGTATAATGCACAGTGCACAAAAGTATATATTTCCTGGTGTAACATTTAACGCTTATTTATGTATTTGCTGATTTAAAATTTCATCATATTTGTCAGACAATTCATTTTTGTATATTTGTATACATGCAATATTGTGTATGCATATGATGTTACATGCAATATTAGTAAAATTAAAAATGTCACCATATTTTCAAATAACTCATATTCGTATATTTGCTATTGCTATATGCAATAAACAAAATGTGATAAACTTTACTGTTTACCAACAAGTGCTGGCATACTTGCTTTTCTACAACAGACTATAGCTTTAATCCCCATTGTTGTAAGGATTAGTACGGTCCAGTAATTTCAATCTCAAAACAGTACGTGCAGGCAAAAAGAGAACACCCCGAAACTTGAAACTTGGTTTTCCTTCCAGAGGCCGTCTCAACTGACTTGACTCACTCATGAATCAACAAGGCAGTACGCCTTGTTAATTGGTGAATCTTAACTGCCTTGACTCATCAATTAACAGGGATTAGGTCTTGGGGCGTGCAAACTACAATCATTTACCATCACCCACCAGTTATCTCCCCTTGTGGACATTTCCAAGATTGGCCTCAAAGTAACTTTAAGTTACTGGGTATTACATTTGATGTGGACCTTGGCAAATGGTGCAACTGAATTACGATAATATGTTTTAAAAAGATAGAGAATGAAATGAAGTTATGGTCCATAAGAACACTTACCCTAATCAGTAGAAATGTTATTTTGAAATCACTATTACCCTCAAAACTAAACCATCTATTTTCGTCAATTCCATCACCCCAGATGAAATAATAAATAAATTTCAACAAGCCTGCTTCAAAAGAGAAGTATTTGCTATGCCACCTGAATATGGAGGAATTAGAGTCCCACTCATTAAGAATACGATTTATGCACATAAAATGTCATGGATAAAGAGATTACATTCCAGTAGCTGCAAATGGAAAGCATTGGCTGAAAATTGTATACCTAACTACAGAAGACTTTGGTTAGCTGATCCCGTAAATATGGAAAAACTCATAAAACCTTATATAGGAAATGCTTTATGGAGAGATGTAATCTCTGCATGGTGAACATATGCAAAAAGGAATATAGGACATTAAACTCAAACGATATGTTAAACCAATGTATTTGGTGTAATTATGTGTTTAGCATAGGTAACGAGACATTTTTATAAACAATTGGTACAATGCAGGTATACACTTTATTTATGATCTAATGAATTCTATACTTATGAAGAACTACAAGAAATATATCAAGTCAAAACAAATATCTTAAGATATCATAGTATCAAATCTTCCATAATTACCTGCTTGAAGAGAAGACAAATCTTCCCAAGACACTACACTTTTCCCAAATACTACCATTCAATATATCCAAACTTAGACTAAGTGTTAAAGGCTCTAAACCTGTTTATCTTTCTTTACTTGACCCTTATTACAATAAATGATATGCCCATAAAAAGTGGGAAAGAGTCTTTGAAACACAGGACGATAACACAATGCTAAGAAACTTGTATGTGATGCCAAATCGATGTACAAAATGTTGTAATTTGAAATGGTTACAGATGAAGATATTATACCTACAAACAGTTTCCGAAATAAAATCAGTCAAAAAGACACTCCTATATCTACATTCTGTTCAAAAGAATTAGAAACAATTGTCCATCTATCCCGTAATTGTTGTCATGTTAAACAGATTTGGGAGAGTTTGACCAAATGTCTAATGGCTGTAACTGTAGGCAACATCAACTTTACACCAGAAAACATTTTACTTGGATTTAAAGGGAAAAATAATAATTCTTCAAATGCAATACGTCTTGATGTGAAACAGGTAACATATACAAAAAAATAAAACAACTTCCAAATTTCAAGCATTGAGATATCAAAATACTATGAAATTACAAAATATAATGCTTACTCTCCATACAGTAACAGCGAGTTCTTTACCTTCTGGTCATCCTTCCACTATCTATTTACTGAACATATTAGGTCAGAAAACATATTGTAAAGTGTATTCAATCACTATTACCATTATTGGATACAGAGATATTGTATGCAAAACATATTCAAAGATATCTATTCATTGTATGATGATGATTTGTGAAAGTATATTGATTATATTGATGTGAATGTGTTCTACATATATTACACTGTCGAAATAAAAACGGTAAAAAGACACACAAAGAAATAAACAACATATATTTCAACTTTGGCAGAAATATCATCACCGAAATAAATAAAAAATCATTTGAACGTGAATATACTGGTGTCATCTCCTGCTGTTATTTCCATTGCCCCAATGGCAGGTAGCGGAGTTCCATCCAATGTCACGACGCTAACGCCTCTGAAATGTAAGGAGATATTTCAGAGAATAAAGTATCTACTCATGTTATATATGTGTCAGCAGTACAATTTGGTATCACAATTCATTTCATAATATATTCAGCATAAATCTATGACTAATTAAGACTAATATACAATCACATGAGGAATCTCCTTTTCAGATGACATATTTTCATGAGCAAGTTGTTTATTACTCATGACCGCCAAGAAAAAGAAGACCCTCATTTTGTCTGGTCCTCTGTTGTGTTTGTTTGATTGTTTTGTGAGGCCGCAAGCAGCAATATTCTAGCTTTATAATGTCGGTCAGCAAATACAGTTATTGACATTATGAGTATTATTATAGGCATAATGATTATAGGCATCAGAACAGTTACATACCGAATCTGCCTTGTGAGTGAGTGAATTAAAATTTAATGTCACCTCGGCAATATTTCAGCCATATAGTGACGAGAAAGGTTTTACATACGAAGTAAAGATAAGTTGTTAAACAATCAGTCATCGAAGGACTGTAAAATAACTAGAGTATCATGGAGTCTAAAACTAGCATGTACATGTAAAACTATTTTATGTACGAAGATAATACAATATAAAAACAGGCTATAGGTCGCAGATAACTGAAGGTAGTTCACCATACTAGGGACCATGAGGACTTAAATTGCTTCTGCTACTTGCATAGACCCTAGTTGGATTTACACCATCCCTTCAGCCTCTGGCGATTGTGGAAAAATTTAGCCGACAGTTAAAATACCAAAAATACTACGTTTAAAATTTGGTAA